GCAATGAAATCAAACCATAGATGTCCATAAAATAAAGTTATGTGTAGCAATGAGTAAGGAATTATGGTATTGCAAACATATTATGTTAATTGTGCCAAAAATACACTTTACATGAAAGCAAATTAAATGAAATTTGCTTATTTACATATAATAAGTGCTACTATTGTATGTAAATATGTATGGTTAACAAGTTTGTTAGACCAACTGTCATAAAAGAAGAAATATTTTGGAAATCTCAAAAAAGCAATTTATTAGGCAGATAACTGATCATAACTAATAATAAAGTTTTTATAGCCAAACGTCTCCTAGAAGAATATACACATCTTGCTGCATAATTAATATAATATGAGATCAAAGTAACTGTAAGCCTTAGATGCCACATAAAGGAGCCACAAATGTCCCTTCTAGTAGCAGCCATAACTAAGTAACCGTAAATGTAGTTAAATCTTTAAAAACTTCTCCACTACACTTATTAATCATCACAACATGGAAGTAGAACAACAATCAAATTCCCTGAAAACATCAGTACAAATATTTATTTCTTCATTTTTATTTTATTTTATTTTTTGTACAAATGTGACTTTGACACAGCTGCATTAATGTTCAATGTTATGCTGTATAAAAGGAGACGGGGGCAACTCACGACCTGTCAGCTGCATCACATTTGGACATTTGGGAAAGCGATCTCTGTGTTTTCTTCTTTTCTGTTTTACTCAGTTTCTTTCTCACACACATATGCTGAAACACACAAACTTGAAAAACCACACATGTATGCTGAGCACATCCTAAATATGTCAAACCAGGCACGTGTGTAGTCGTACAAGAGAAGGTATTTACAACCACCAACACCCCTAAAGAGTCCAAAACAAAACTACACCCTCTGTAAGCACAGTAACACTCTCGTAAATATAAACTTACAACACATCAAGCCTTATAAGTAGAAAAAGTTTAAAAAATACACATCAAATATCCTCACTCATTAACAGCTGATGCCTAGAACAGTGTTCCAGTAGTTGTAGGCAGGTGGCAGTAGTGAGACACCCTGATGTCCAATACTGGCAGCACAAATACTGATACTGAGTTGAGTTGTTCACAGTAAGTTATTATTATTGGTTTTTTTTTGTTTGTTTTTTTAATTCTTGAATGCTTGCAGCATGAAATAATGCAATATGAATTTTGGAGTGAGCGATTCATTTTGTACATAAAGTACTTAATGTTTTGAAATTCTTCAGAAATCTGATTTTAGGTAATCCTTTAGGTTGTGTGTTGCATTAAGCTTGTGGCTGATTATAGGACACTGGCCAACAAGATTTACATTACATGGAGCCATAATAAAAAACACAAATCGAGATGAAAATCAGGGCCATATGTTCTGAAATAATACAGCAGTGGGTAAAATTTTACTTTACCAACTGGACCATCCCAGCCTTGCCGTATTGGTCTATTTGATTCACCTTTGCTTTTATTGTTTATTTTATTTTCATTTGCTGAACACGGGACAGACTTGACTGGGGAAAAGAAAAGGGAGAAAGAAAGAGGGAAAGATGAAACATGAAATATCCTAACAGTATTCAGGTGTAGCCATACGCACAACTCTGGATTGGATAAGTGGTAAAACATTTTTTTAATGGATATTAGTTTCTTTATTTAGGTATTGGAGCTGGGACAGGCTCCATCGCTCCCACAGTAGGACAGTCAGGTTTCTATATTTATCTGCTTTAATTCTTTTTATAATTTCTGCTTCACTGTGCAAATACATGGCCCATCCGATTGCCAGGACACAACAAACCTAGCTGTGTCTCATCAGCTAAGTACAGAAATTCAAATTTATGACACCTTTTTATAAATGAAGGCCTATTTAAATGTTTTTTTAATATTAATTACTATGTTTAACAAATCAATTTATTTATGATTTTTCAGTCTTCCTCCTCTGCTTTTTTTAGTACATGAGACTTCTTTGAATGATCTGACAACTACAAACACGTCTATCTACAGTCCAATTAGCGTAACAAGTACAGCGCAGACAGACAGGGTAAAAAAAAATGTTTGAAATGATAAAAAAAAATCATTCAAGTGATACATGATTTTGGTATAAAAAGTCTGTAGGGATAAAGTATTATTCACGTATAAATACTGTACATACATTTCCAATACAAGACAATCAAATAATAACTGCTTAGACTGAAAAAAGAGAGGTTCAGTTTATATTAAATATCTTGGAGAGAGACAGACCCCAGTGTACACTACGATAAAAACCACACTAACGCACACATTTGCATTCTTAAAATCTCAAACGCTCCTATGCAGGCACGCACCGGCACATGCACGTAAAGGAAGCTAAACGTTTGTGAGGGTCATCTGTAGTGCATAGAGACATAACTGAACTGTGTTCTGCAAATGTCACGACAGAGGACATTTCAGTGCATTTCTCCTCATTTTGTGTCTTTTATCATCTTTCAAGACTCCTGGGACAAAGACAAAGACATAAATACTCTATATGTGAGAAAACTACATAAACATAGGTACAAAAAACAGTACAAAAAGATATTTCTTGAAAAAATTCAGTTGGATAACTGCAACAGTTCTGCAAGTCCAGAGCAGCAGCGCTCGTCCACTCTGCCACTGTTAAACTGAAGTTTCTGATTGGAGCAACAGTAAAAACTTGTGCGACTTGGGATCGATGTACTCTTCGGTCAGTCGGATATAAGGGATGCTCTTGATGCTGATGGCTAAGCTAAAGTCGAGACACTTCAGAAGGAACTCTGTCCCCTGTTTAATGCCGCTGGTCACAGACGCTTCGCTCACTAAGGTCCACTGATCAGCCATCCAGCGCTCGGGGCCGTACTGCAGGGTTGGACCAGGCACGAGATAAGCCTCAAGGAAGGCCTACGCACACAGAGAAGCAGCTGATTATATCAAAGTACCCACAATGAAAAACAAAACAAAATTGATGTGTAAAGACAAAACTTGGGATAACATCTATATGGCAAGATTAACTCATTTTATTAACAATCTCCTGACCGATGAAACCATTTCTAATGTCAGTGAACCAATAAAAGTTGACCTCATGGCCCTTCTTGAATGACAGCTTGCCCCTCTTTTAGTTTCATCATATGATAATAAAGAAATTAATCAATAAAACTGAAATTAAATGGATGCACAAGGGGGTTTAGCAAAGAATGCATACAAAACTAATAAAACCTCTTTTCACTGATGTGACACGATTAAGTAATGCTTCCATTTACTTTCTGTCTGATAGCTGATGTTATTTACTCAGTTTGAGTGACAGCTTGTTAGACATAAAAATAATGTCATTACAGCCTTTCTTCCACCTCATATCACCCATACCCATATCACCCCATCCTTTGCATTCTCCTCTGCATTTCCTCCTTCAATACATCCATAAATCTTCTCTGTGAACTTCCTGTTTTCCTCATGATAGCTCAATCTTCAACATCATCTTTGTCCAGTATCCACTATCCCTCCTCTGCACAAGTTTTTGTCTTCAAACCTCTTGATCTCTTGCCTCTAGCTCCAACTCCTGTTTGTTAGTGCCACCATCTCCACCTCATTCATCACAGCAGATCTCATTATCAGCTTGTAAACCTTCCCTTTCACTCTTTCTGCTATCCTTTTGTCATAAGTTACACCTCTTGGTAAACACTGCCTTAGTGCAAAGCTATTGACAACAAATCTGACCTTAGGACTCATGTTATTGACCAGGCAGAAAGCAAGATGCTTCTGGATGCTCTCCATGCTGTGGCAGTGTTGCCTCCTGGTGGTGCGGAGGTACTTCTGCAGGGCCCGAGCCATAGAAGGAAATATAGCCAGAGCTGCCTCTCGCACATCCATGATGTCAGACGGTGTTGCACGCTCATCTTCTTTCTTCATGCGGCGGACATGTGTGAAGGCCTCCTCAACAGCAACTACCAGCCTGACAGAGAAATACCACATTGTATTTGGCTATATACAGTTGTTTTTACTGATCATTGAGCAGCACCCTAATGTTAAGACAGATTAAACGAAACTGCAGACGTATATATCTGTTAAAGTAAAGGTATTTAAACGTACTGTGGAGGACTTTCCATGCAGTATTTTAGTCATCAAGTTTACATAATAACGTGCATAGCTAAGTGCTTTCTCACAAGCCTAGTCCTCTTGACAGTTTTTTTTAACTACACATGTGCATGCACCAGCCATCCCAGTATGTGCAGCTTCCCAAGTTTGATTTTTACTTCTGTGCAGAATCTATGTGGAACCTACGACAAACCATGTGCAAGTGGCTAACACTAGATTTATAACAGTCCTGTTGTGCCTCTGTCGCTTCCAAAACAGTAGTTGGCGGTAGGGTTTTTCTCATCAAGTTGATTTATTTTCTTCCCAAGAAGAAGTAGCCAGAAACACATAGAGGTAAACGGGCCATTAAAGTTTGTAATGGGCTGGCATTAACATGTGCTGTGGTTGCATTTCTAGGGATGTGGATATGTGGCTACAGCGTAAGTTACAGAATAACTGTGGTACAGATTTAATGCAGAATTATTAAGCCACTGTAACAGTGTGACACTTTGCTCCCATGACTCACCTGGCTCTACGTTTACGGACTCTTCTTTCATAGTCGGCTTCCTCGTAGTACAGCTCATTGTGGGCGCTGTCTTTACGTTTGCCGGCAGCTGTAACCATAGCCCGTGACTGATTTCCATTACTTGGCTGAGCCCCTGCTGCATTCCCTGGGGCTGTATCAGAAAGAAAGGACAGTAGTAAATTGGTTAAATCAGCCTGACCTGGGAGGGCAGTCTTTAACGGGCCAGTCCCCCACCAGTGATTAATGGACAGTATCTCAATCTGAATGATTGAGGGAAAACTCATATTGAAGGACAAATTCAGATCTTATTATTAGTGGTGTAAAACAGCTGTAAATCAACCTTCCCAGCCAGTATTATTCCCATTTTATCCTCCACTTAACTGTGAGAAAGGTTTGATAGTTATCTGGGTAGTGTCGCTAGTCTGAATCACAAAACATTCTTAATTTTAGCACTGAGAAAAGAGGCAATTTCCACTGGAAGCATCCACATTTCTACACACACTCTGTGATGCAGAAACCTTTTTATTGGGGGTCTGGATTAAATATTCATTATTTTACACATCAAAGACCATGTGTGAATTTACTGGTTTGTGTGGCAAACCCATAAAACTAATGGGGCTTATATAGCAGTATATTAGAGATCCTGTGGTGTCACTGAGGCGGAGTAATATCTGGTCCATATTCATGAAGATCACTAAATCTGGGGGTGGTTATAGATGGTAAATGCTGCAGGTCAGACAAGGATATAAATTATTAATCTGATCTGCATGGGCGTATGTTTACGCTTGTGCATGCAGGTGAGAAAGAGAAACTGAATTTAGTGATGAAATATGGATGAAAAATCCTCCCAGTGCGAGTACTGTGGAGCAAATGCAGTCAGATCATTTGCAGAAGAAGCACTGTAGACACTTTCCAATGAAAATAAAAGTAAACATCCTTATACATCCTGCCCTACATATTTGTACTGTTTGTACAATGAGAAGAGTGACTGACTGGTATAGCGTGAGGGAGATGTGTGGGAGTTGACGACGGAAAAGAAAGGGGAAAGAAGGAGCTGGAGCTGGAGACAGTGTGAGCAGGAGGAAGGAGAGATGTGGGAGTATTTGAGAAATGAGCGTTACACTGATGAATTATTTAAGGCTTGGAATTCCACGGCCGCCTAGAGACCCTTCCATTGCACTTTGATAGGAGAGGGGGTGGGGTGGATGAAAAGCACTGTGAGGACACGGTATCCAACATTGCTTCCCTGCTTTATACATCAACAAATCCAGCGCTGCGCAGCCAGTGGGAGATTAATAGGTGTTGAGTGGAAGACCCTTTTAACTCCAGGAAAGAGTGTGATATGTGGCATTACAGGATGTGTGCAAGAAAGTAATATATCAAGAAAATTGTAGCATTTAGAAGAGTGCTTTTTTCCCCTGCAAATTCAATATATGCATTATGTCAGAGAGGGAGGCTTCAGAGTGACGCTTCACGACTGAAGCGTGAAATTAGTGTCTCCCTGTGATGGTGAGGGCTTTTATCTGTATTTACTGTCAAAACGGTATGTTCTCAGTTTGTTTTTCAAAGCTGCTCATTGAAACCAGAGTATCACAGCAAGCAGAACGAGGAGAAGACAGTTAAAACAAGGGAAAGTAACGGTATAAACTAAGGGACATCAGCAGAAATATTACATGCGGTGCACAAATAAATTAAAGGAACACTTTTTATGCGAGTGTAGCATCAAGTCTAGTTGATTAGCAGGGCGGGTTGTTAATCAGTTTGAGCTGCTTTGGTGTTAATGAAATTAATAACAGGTGCACCTGTTGTTAATTTCTTCTCCTCTTTTTAAGAAGGAACAGGATGAACACTGCCAGAGCTGCAAAATGATCTCCAGCAGGGTATGGTGTGAAAATGTCCAAACAATGTGTCTGACCAATCAGAAACAGACTTCAGAAGGGTATCCTGAGGACCCGATGTTTCTACGTGAAAAACCCAATATATTTTTAAGCAATTTTAAAAAACAGCCAGATGTAGCAAATATGATACAAATGAAAATTCATATATGGAAATTAAAATGTAATTATTATTTGATGGTTCAATAAGCTCTCCAACATAAAAAACGTATCTTACAGGCTAGGCAATGGGCCATGACTGCTACCAGTGAAATCCTCGGACCCACTGTCAAACCCTGTGCTGGTGCAGTGGTTGCTGGATTCCTCCTGGAGCACTACAATGTCAAGCCCCATGTGCCAAGAGTATGAGGGCATTTCCTGGACAATGAAGAAATTTATACCGTTGACTGGCCCCCATGCTACCCTGACCTAAAGGACACAATAGAGCACCTCTGTGACATCATATTTCAGTCCATCAAAGATCACCAGGTTGCACCTCACTGTCCAAGAGCTCAGTGATGCTATGGTCCAGATCTGGGAGGAAATGCCCAGGACATCATCTCTTTCCTCTCATTAGGAACATGCCCCAGTGTTATCAGGCATGCAGGGGACAAACAAACTACTGAGTTCCATTCTGCAATGTCATTTTGGCAAAAGGACTAGCCTGCAGCATGCTTTTCTTTGAAACTTTTATTCTGGGGTGACATAGAATTCAGCCTTCTGTAGGTTGATCATTTTCATTTTCATCAAACAATGTGTTATCTTTTATTTCCTAACACATTACCCAGTCCATGTCAGTATAGCTCCCCCCCCCCCATTGAGATCTGATGTATTTCCAGAGTGTTCCATTAATTTATTTGAGAAGTGTAGTACAGGAAAAAAATAAATAATTGGGACATATGAGGCAACTAACCGTCTACATTGTAGACCTTTAACCCAGCCAGGTGTTTGGCAGCTCGGTGTTTGGAAGCAGAGAGAAGGGCCGGGTTATGGAGTGGAAAATCTCTGTAGTAATACTCCAAAATGGACAGAGCGGCCCTTTGAATGCTGTGTGAGGCAAGAGAGAAAAGAGAAAACTTGAAAACAGTACAAGACAGTATAAAATCCCCCTGAATCTGGTGAACGAACAGCCCACTAAACAGTGATTGACTTACAAGATAATGCCGTCATTTAGAAATTCAATTAAACAATTTGAGAACAAACATTAGCACAGATGTGATCTATTTTATTTAATAAAATCCTCTTAATGGCCAAACTTTTGCATCTACATTACCAACGATGCACCTCAATCGCCGACAGTTCAGTGGGAGAATCTGTTGTTTTATGCCTCAGTGCAAGCATCTGACAAAAGATGAGCAGGCTACTGAGGTCTGGTGAGCTCACTACTTTATAATCCCTCATCCCTGGCTTCTTATTTTAAAGATTTTATTTTGACTTTATTTGACAGAGAAAGATTTTAATTCTTTCCCCCCATAAAGACATTTAGCGACCTCTCTTGTAAAGTTAAAGACACCTCAATATATGTAAAAAAAGACGTGGTTCGACGACTGTCAGAACAGGTTTCAGTAGCTCTCAGTTCACTCAGTTCAGCAAAGAGAAAAAAAAGGCTTACTGCTAGTAGGCATCCAAGTGGGGGGTAAAGAGTTAAGATGGACTCAGCCCTTATACAAGCTGCAGCACTGTACCACGTGAGCTGCTGAGAATTGAGTCATCGACAATTCAATTTTCATATTTGTCCTCTTCAACCAATGAAGACTCAACTGACCTGACATGAAGCCATTTACAGTGTCACCATGTAAGCCACCACAACCAAGTAAGCCATATAAATTACTGGAAACAGTTAATGCAGTATGAATCCTTTTCTTTCTCCTCCGCAGGTCCTAACCTCTTGTTTACCATTCCACAAATTAGGAATTGGAAGAACGCCCATTATTAACCCATTAAACTGTTAGCCTCATTACACAAGCATAAATAGTAATGTCTCCTAGTCTTGTCATAGTAATAAACTTGTCCAAAGAAGAAACAAAGACAGTCATATGACGAGTCGCTTTTTCTCATCTCTCCTTTCCGAACTCCTAGAATAGCACACTAGCCGAGGTCACCGTAGAGTAACTCAATTACTGCCTGTGCCTGTCTTCCCTGTGGCCATAAGCTTCCAATTACACAAATACATCAACAAGGAGAGTGTGGCTGAGCACCGTTGTGTACTTACTGTGCACAGTACAGAAAGGTTATATCCGCATGCGAAAGTGTGAAACTTTTCTATGTCGGTCAGCCTTGTGTTTGCTTTAGGAAAGACACACAAAGCTAATATGGTGCAACTGCAGCGTGCTCACCTGAGCTGTCCTATGTTGTAGTGACGAGTCTCTCCATCTGTGGAGCGGATGACACACACGCTGTAGCAGGGCTGGAGTTGGCGGAGTTCCAGAAGTACGACTGCCAGGTAGTGAACAAACAGCTGGGAGTCCACGAGGGACACAGCAAACTGGACGATGCCGTGGTAATCCTCATCCTGCTTGGACCACACCATGGGCTTAATGAAACTTTCATTCTCATTAGATAAAAGCTTAAAAAAACAAAACAAATTACAGCTTTATTTAAGACTAAATGAATTAGATTGAACTAATACTCGGCTACATGCAAACAACATACCATAAAAAACAAAAACAATATGTCCCAAAAACCGAATCAATCAACCTTTATCTAAGAGCCATTTAACACCATTAAAGCAATAAAGGAAATAAACTCGGAAAAAAATTGTGTATTTGCATGTTAACTATTTGTTAAATGATCTAAAAAGATTGACTGATGAAAAAAAAGTTCACTGCTTAATGTGCAAAATTAAGAAAATACATAAATAAATACATAAATAAATTAAATACATCTCAAACCCACCTGAGCATCAAGGATCCGGACCCCATAGAAGAGCCAATAAGACATAGTGAGCAGGAGTGTGAGTGTGATGAGGAAGGCACGATACACACACACTCTTGGCAGGCAGGCCCGGTTGGGTCGCAGAAACAAAGCCCAAACAGCTACCAGGAGGATGAGGAGCTTGAAGGAAATGGAGAGGAAGAGCCCCTCGCAGGCTGCACCACAGACCTGCAGTCTGTCGGGCCACATTACTGCTGGTAGAAGCAGGAACACCAAGGGCGTGGCGAGCACCAGCAGCCCCACGCATGAGCCCACAGCCAAGGGAAGGTAACGGCGAAAGCCTTGGGTCCGGTCTTGTATTCCTTTCCCCAGGCCCACCACCTCCTCCTGGGAAACACTGAGCTCTGACGTTCCTGTGACAGCGGTGGTGGTTTCTCCCCAGTTATCATCCTGAAAGGATGTAAAGGAATACATGAAGGAAATCTGGGTTTCATGCCACAGATGTACATTTGGGTCTGCTGTATTGTGTATGCTGTCAATTAAAGTATTTACCTATTTCAGGTCATTTATTAAAAGACTGCAAAAGTCTTGGGAAGTTTGCCTCTATACACCAAAACTGGAATTTTAATTAAAGATATGATAAATTTCAGGCCTTCTTTTTTAACAAAAAGAGTTACAGCCATTTTCACTCATAGTCCACCACTGTCAGAGGTTCAAAAGTAAAAATGATGTATATATGCATAACAATGGCTAAAACTACTAAACAATACTTTTGTTAAACCCCTAAATTTACAACTAAAAGTCTGCACTTTGAACACATCTTGATGATTTGACTTAAAATCCAGTGTGATGGTTGTACAGAAGCAAAACTCCCCAAAAATATGTCCAAGCTGTATGAATTGATTTGTTTGTGGTGCTAGGTATATACACTGGGTTCATCAGCTTCATAAACAACATCCCAGCAAACAGTAGTAAAACAGCAACATTGTGAAACTGTCAGACTGTCAGTCCCTCTTTTACTGACCTAAGAAATATTTATAATATTGTAAGTGCACGCGTCTTTGTTTGTTATTACACCAACTTTTGATTGACAGTTAGCTGAGACATCAGGTACACAGACTAGTACAACTAATGTTCTTGTTTGTTTTGTCAGTGATAAAAGGATGCATCACTCTCATGTCCACAACTAATGTACACAGAGGACATCAAGCAGACACTGCCACCACATTCACTCTGTAAAGGCATAATAATGGGGTGTCTTCAATATTTGTTCAAACAACAAAATATTGCATATCATCCAACATCAAAATGTTTGATGGATCCTTCCATGGATAGAGCAGAAATGAGCTGAAAGACACTAAAAATGCTGTGGAGGGCCAAAGGGGGAAAACAGATTTGGGTATATGTGGGTTTACTATTTCATAAGATTCACACAATCATTTGGTTCACTGTTTATCCACTGAGTAGATCTTTAAAATGGATTTTGTTTAATGCTTTGGACACCAAACAAATGTATGAGACTAATATGTCAAAACCTGGGCCCATAAAATAACATAAGTTGACAAAGCAGAGTCAAATGATGAATGTGAATCAGACAGACAGTGCTTCCATTTTCCCACTGACTCCTTTCTTGGCCCACAAAGGCCCCACAGAGTCTATGCACCATGAATGCAGCACATCCTTAATTTTTTTTCTTTTTGAGCAAGTCAATATAATGGCAAGCCTTTTAAATTCTGTTTGAAGTAATAAAGGATGACAGGATGTGCATGCAAGCAAAAGCACACACACACAGCATAAGCCAAAGCTTTCCATGCCCATCATCACAAATTTGTCTGTTTTTTTTCTTCTTCTTAACTACCGTGGTCATTTTGAGCATAAATATTTCCGACAAAGAGACACAAAGAGAATAAATTAGTGACAAGTCTACTCTAAAGAGACATTTATTTTTGTTTGCCTGCCATTAATTCATGTAATTAGCCATTCATTGTGCTCCAGAGTGTCACTGCATTGTACCTCCCGACAACCAATCAAAGGAGCAGCAGCTGCAGCGAGAGGGATGACGGCTGGAAAATTGACAAGCTGAACAGATAAGCCACCCTGGCTTCACACACGTGTGCGCACACATCCACCTAAGCACCATCAAACAGTGCTTAGATCCACACTGAAGCCACATGAGCCTCATGGAGCTGCTGTTAGCAGCACAGCTCGTTGTCATATACTCTTCACCTGTCTAGAGCTTGTGATTCCAACTATATGCAAGATCCTTTCCAGTCTATTAAAGTTAAAAGAAGCCTAAGTGAACCCCGCTGGAAATCTGACTTACTTTGCATATTTTACAAATTGTAATATAAATATGAATTTTGCTTCTCCAGCACAGCTCACAGCCAATTAGCTTAGCCTTGCTGGAGGAGGAGGAGGAGGTGGAGGAGGATGCCAACAGGAGCCAGAAGATGAATGAGCATGATCAGAGAAGAGGGGGGCAATGCCGCAGAGGGATGGCAGCAGGTTATGAGCAGAGAGAGGAGAGGTTGGGCTGGCGTCCTGAGTGTGTGTTTGCCAGACTAATGTGAGAAACAAGAGGTCAGCTGTGCACCGTAGGTGTAACATCAGCTTCATTTAGTGCCAGATCTCATTTGTATTCAGCCCACACATCTTCTTTTTTCCCCCTTAGTTTCTTTCTCAAGCCAACCCCCCACTCACCAACCTGCATCTGTGAACAATCAATGTCATTCCGCGTTCCACTGTGACAAATGAACAATTAGGAACACAGAAACAACATCTTCCTGTTTGAACACAGATGCTGAGTAGTCACTTAGCTAGTGTCCAATTTTCTCTCATTGTTGTTCTCTAATCTCACTAATCTGGTGTTTTTCTTATAAACCCAAGAATGTTAGTCTTTCAGTCATAATTCTGAAAGTTTCAAAATAAACCTCTTCTGGCACACTTGAGAAATGCTCGGTTGTACAAAAGATGACAATTTTAATGGAATCAAGGGTGGCTAATCACGGGCTTATGGGATTAAGATTTAGCTCAGAATTTGTCATTTTTCATACTTGTGCTGTATGCATGTTTTGTGTTCTGGTGAACAGCCTCTACCTTTAATATTTACAATCAAAAGCAATATATAGAGTAACTTGTGTTAACATTTTGAAAGGAAAAGAACAAATGAGGAAAAGTAAGCATAAAAGAGGTTTGTGCAGTACTTTTTCAACACTGGGTGCTTGACTGATCTTCTCATGCAGCTCTCTGCAAAAACAAGAAAAGAAAAGCTTATTTCCCAAAATGCCAAACAATTTCTTTGAACCCTTTGTGATCACAGAGAACAGGAGGAAACAGATCACAAACAGAGACCAGACTGTCTGGGCACCTCCTCTTCACCAGATGTTGGCTAAGAGGCACAGCTTTGTTTTTATTTGTAGAGATTTACTCTGTTTTATTTTCCTCTTATTTAGACATTGAAGTGCAGTTGCGGCTAAGAGATTAAAATGTGTTGGCCAAGTGTGTCTTAGTGCACTAACCACTTAAGCATATACATTTTATATTCTATATGCGAAATGCATGACTGAAACATTTCATTCATCCTAAGGATCCTACTGCAAATGCTTTAAGGCTAATGTGTCATTTAGAGGGAGAAAACGGAGCATTATTGAGTGAGCTAATATACTGCTAATACCTATCATTAAGTCTCAGTGGATTCATGCAGAAGATTAATGCTAACTAATCAGATCAGAAAGAGAAAGAAACCAGGAGAGACTGACACAGGGAAGGTTATAAAAGCAAGAGCGGAAGGGCATGACTGCCGCCTGCTCCCTTGGCAGTGTTTTAGTCTTTTTATCTGGCAGAGGGTGAATATGGATTATGCCACACAACACAGAAAACAGTCTGCCAGCTACAAAGCCTAATCGCTGAGCAGCACTAGCTTGAGTGAAGGTTAAAATAGGCTTTGTGAGACACACACAAAAAAGCTTCAAACGCCTGCCAGGTTTCCTTAAATTTACTGCATTCCTTTTAGGAGAAGGAGCTTTTGTGTTTTTACCTCACATTACATGCATTGCTGGTGTAGTAGCTGTGAGTAGGTGAGTATTTTAGAAAAAGGGCAAACAAACAAGTTTATAAAGCAAGACTACCATACGCTATGGTGTTGCTAGAGCTAACACTGTGAGGAAATTGAAACTGCTCCCTCTTGGCACAGAGTCACAGTGTCTAACAAAGCAGCATGGCCAGTCTCAGTAACAGATTCTCAGTGACTCACTCTTACACACACACACACACACACACACACACACACACACACACACACACACACACACACACACACACACACTGTGCTCCAAGACCGTATCCTTATGTCACAGGCATGCGTGTAAACATGGAGGATTATTCATATCAGCTTTCCTCCAAGTGGCGTTTGGCCGGATGCTAATGCTAATCCCAGTCTGTGAGAATGTTTCCTCTGCACTGGAGACTAGTTAGTGTTAATATGCGGCTCCGCCATCTGACAAAGCTGCTCTAAAAAGCATGGGTTGGAGTGCACCGTGGTTGACGGTGTTTGCGGTAATGCTGGTGCTGCCACTGGTGTATGGTGTGCGGACACAACCGTCTGCAGGGGTACTGCAGTACAATGGCAGATTACCTTACACTGCTAACAATGGATGCAGGCTAGGAGCTGACAATCACATGCCAGTGTGGAATGTGCCTTTCCAGCCAAAAGGGGATGCTGAGCAGAGATAGCAAAATAGGTCAGACTTCTCCAACATGGTCAGAAAGTCAGGTTGAACGCATGTTTATTTTCCAGTCACATTAAATGTTGCTAATATTAGGAAAGTATATTTTGTCAAGGTAGCTTGCACTACTGATACAATGCTTTTCTGCAGCTATTTTAAGCATGCAAGTTGCACAATAAGCCAATGAAAAATGCACTCATTTTGGGTTACTATGTATTTCAAGTGGGTCAAAGACACTGTAAAGGCAGCCCCAGGCTAGCAATATCTTTAACTCGTCTTCAGGGAAGAAGGTGCTTTCTTTATCTCTCTCATTTTCTTCGTTTCTGCTTCTACTTTAAGCTCTATTTATCTTTCAGTACAGTTTGTGCGATTCTCTGCATTTAAAGGTACCCTAATATTTTGGAAAATAATTTTATTCAGGTGGCAGTTAGCTTAGCATAAAGACATATTTATATATATTTATATATATTTTTCTCCTATGTGAAGCTTCTAGAAAAGCTTAAATGTAAAACAAGGAGTTGCAATCTCACAGTGATGATAAGACCACAGGAGGTCACACTCCAGGTTATCACTTGGCTAATAAAAGCACTCTTGTTTTCTGCTAAGCCAAGCCAACCAATTGCTATCTACATGCAGACAGGAGGCAGGTATCAGTCTCCTCATTTATGTCTTGTTCAGATTGTGCTTGTTTGGTGAAAGCTGTTGATATATTTCAGAAACCGGTTGGATATAATGCTGTTTATGCTGTTTAGGGATATTCCTAATTATCCCAATCAGTACCACATAACATTGCTGTTTACAGATATGTAGAAGCTGTAACTGAGATCTCTCACTCACTTTAACATAAAACACACAAATCTATAACCCATGCACATCTATATGGAAGCGTTTTCTGCCACTTAAAAAATGCCAGGATGTGGAAACCTAAAATTTTGTGATATTAATTGTAAATAACACAATGTAGGGATTAAACTAATATATTCTTTTAAAAGCAGCATTAGCCACATCTGGTTATAGCTTTGGGGCAATATTTCACATATCCATATTGCTAATATACAGTCTGAAATGCGGTTCCAGAAGATGTTTTAATAGTGATTTTTTTGAAATCCTGCTGCTCAGAGACAGGAGGACGCATAAGGTTTAGATGCCTGAGGCGTATTACGCTCACCAGGCACTGTCAGCATGGAAAGAAATCGCATTAACTCAACGTTTGACTACTCCTGTTGTAGCAACAGAGGGACCGCAATGCATGATGGTCTCAGTGCATGGATCTAGTGTACATTGTGATGATTTTAAAGCACTCTGTGTGGTGGAGGACAGTTCAGAATTAGAACAGCACTACAAAATGGCTAGTAGATGTTCCCAAAATAGCCAATAATCTCTGCAAGAAAGAAATAACTCCTAAATATCCACACAGTATTATACTCTAATGAATCTTTAATCCTTGAAGCCTTAGTTAAATATCTGCCCTGCATTTTAAGCCTCATATCGCATCATTTTGTGTCTACACAAACCTATTTTGCTTGTAGCAGCAAAATCAGCTTTTTGATGCTATACTATGCCTTGATTTCAAAGCCATTAGGCATTACAGTCAGTATGTAGGCACTCACACACACTCACACACACAGACACAGCAACGAAACACTGTCTGTACAAATCCACCCAGGCCTATAAGAGAGATGCTAATCCTCTGACCTATCTGATCCCTTGTCGCCATTGTTAGCCTATCATGTGTCGGTCAGCCAGCTGTGCGAGGGCGAGTTTATAAGGTCGGGACGCAAAGTTCATGCATGGATTACTGGGTCTTGCTTTTTCTGAAGGAAACTGATACTAGCTGCAGTTTTAGTGTGCTTTCCTACAAAACAATGTGCATCTTTCACAGTTTCACTGTTGCTGTCAGTTTTCAGTTTAGAGTTACTCCAATACCTGCGCCTCATCTCCTTGTTCTGCTGCAGGTGTGGGCTCTCCAGGCAGCGGTTCTCCGTTATGAACTGGGGAGTCTTGGGAAGGGGTGTCGGGGGGATTGATGACCACAGATCTCTCCGAGCGGCTGCTGTCTTTACTGCTGCTGGCTTTGTGTCGCTCACGGCTTCGATCTCTGGAAAGTGAGAACAAGCACACATGGTGACCACTGGGATAATACAACAGGAAAAATGTACCGATATATAAGACTGAAACTGCAGCCTAACATATCGTTATTCAATGATTATTCTTTACTAATTAAAATGGAAATGAATACTAATTAAAATTAAAATAATGATCACTATACATGTCAATATAATTTCTTTAACAGAAATGTAAATTAAACAACCATTTCAGGTCCCCATTTTCCATTCATTAAAATGATTCAGCTTGGGATAAGTACCATATCATCAATATACACACAAAATAAGAGCTGAGACAATAAGCTCATTAATTTATATCAATAAAAATAATGAGCCAAAATGTTTTATAGTTTATTCTTGATGATTATTTGTTTAAGGTGAGTCCAAGAAGACAAAAATTCTAGTTTCTAAAATGTGAAAATGTACTTCTTACTTAATAATTGTTCTTAATATTTGTGAGGTTTGGACTCCTTATTGGACAATCTTTGGCTTCTGGACCTTGTGAGCAGCGTTTTTTTATCAGCTCCTGACATTTTATAAAATAACTTGTTAATTCTTTATTAATCAAAAATCAAGAAAATAGTTTGACAGTTTCTCATTAATGAAAGCTTTTAAACAGTGAAGTGCATTAATACTCCAGCAGACAATTATAGGCATCAGGAATGAGGGGGGAGATAAACAAATGATTCTCTCGTTTGCAGACTCAATCACTGAAATAGGTTAGAACCGCTCAGCTGTGACGACCCTAATCCACAAGCTCTGTCTGTCTCAATCTCTCGCTTGTTCTCTCTCTGCAGTTTCTCGCCTCATTATTTCACAACCAACATGTGGCCCACTCAAACGGAAGACAAACAAAGCTACAAAATGTTCACTGAAGGCATTCCAGTAGCCAGGGAGTGGGATACAACATGTGATCTGGAAGAATCAAATTCCTGTCATGGGAGTGCCGGTTAGACAGATACAGCAGAGAAGTAGACAGTCAGATGGAAAGGCTGACGACAGACAGGAAACATACCCATGCCGGTTTGATCTCCCGGAGCGACTGGAGTGATAGGAGTAGCCAGAGTGGGTCGACTCCGTGTCCATACCGACGCAGTTCAGAGACGGTGATTGGACAGGGGGATGAGGAGAGACTTGCCGTGTGGCAGAGAGGGTAACTTGGCAGCAGCGCTCAGGAGGACAAATGGGTTGCTATAGAGACAGGCTTCAAAAATCCACGACAAATGACAACTATCTTTGATTGCGGCTTCAGTGACCACATTGACCTGAGGGACAGATAAATAGCACAGTATGAAGGATGCACCAAGACATCAAACAAACAGAGCATTAGATGTGCAAGAAAAGCTTCTGCATCTCTGATTCTCATCATTCAACACATTTACAAAGCAGACAGATTAATATATTAGCCATTGTGCTCTGCTGTGTTGTGGGTATATACTTCAGATTATCTATGATTAATGTATTAACCTGGAATATTTATTCCAATCTAACTTGATATTCAGCACACACACTACATTTGTTACAACATCCCCTTAACAGCAGCGGTCCCGGTTCAATTTTTACAGCATGCCACGCCCTACTATCTCCCCCAATATTTTCCTATCTCTCTAATGTGTCTCAAAGACACGCAAACATGCAAAAAACAAAACAAAAACCAAAACCCCAAACCAAAAACCTTTCCTCTGCAGTCGTTATAAGTTTGCCCTGAACTTGGAAAAAGTGCATTCTGTACCCTCTGCTTGGAATTATTTACAAGACGCACTTTATTTGGAAACTCTGACTTAAATCCAGCCATTCGAATGCCACATATAAAACATGTTTCATGAAGAAGCTTTTACACAGTCTTTCTGTCTTTTTACAAGTCTCATTTTATTTCTGTTTGGATGCGTGTTTTTATGGCTTGTGCCTAAATACTGCCTTTTTGGCTTGGTCTCGCTTGTAAACCACCCCCCAAAAAACATAATTATGCATCTCAGGAGAAACAAAAACATTAAGGTTGTATAAAAAATATGGAATGGCACAGACATACATTAAGAGGTGCAGGTAACAAAACAGAAAATAATTAATGTCCCATGTTAATGTTAAAAATGCCCACTTGTATGAGCTCTTAACACTCATTAGGATTAGGTTTTCTTTCAGTTACATTCTTAAAAAAAACCCCTTCACTAATAGAAGAGGCTAAAAAACCCCAAAACCCAAGTATTTTAAAATAAAACATTCCCTTTGTCAACGTACAGTTTAGACGTACAATATAGATAAAACCTGCATATTCACATAAAAAGAGCACATTCAGGTAGATCATTTAGTTCTAATCTGTACTATAATTGATCTCATAATAACTGCATTTTATTTGATAGCCAGTGATTTGGAAAAGAGAACTCTCTCCATCCTGCCATTATTAACAGGAGCTGAATCTGCCAGACTCACTTCCTGTGAAACAAATGTGTGATGTATGCATGACGATCTCTCACCAAGCATTCATTTAGACCTCAATCTCAACCCTGTCTGTCTCCCAGCTGTTGTCCTGACAACCACCTGCCAGTCAACTTCCCCATCACCATCTCAATTTACCAGCTGAGACTATTCTTCCCATCACTTACAGGCCATTTGTTATCTCTACAGCAAATGATGCATACTAACACCAAAACAGCCCATTCAGCATATTAGGATGTGAATGCTCCAGAGATCGTATTCTGAAGGGTTAAGAGAAGACACTGCTGTGCAGCAGATTTCCATTAAGAGGGTTTAAATGGTTTTTATTTCCCTCAGCTGCCTATTCCATTAAAAATGTTATACAGTACATATAAAGTCTGTAAGATTAATATTACAACCTAAAGAATTACTTTTGTCAGATAAATACAATCTATATTGTTGTTCTTTGGGCTGTAGACTGGCTCCATAGTGTAGTGGGTTACATGTTTGCCTAAATACATAAAAAAATCCCTAGTTTGATTCTGGGAGAACCCTTTTGGGGCTGCGTGGGGAAGTGCATCCAGTGCAAAAACTCTGCCAAAGCAAACATGTGGAGCTACCTGCTGTGCTAACCCCCTGTGAATAAGGAAGCAGTTGAAACTAGTGCAAGACTGTAGTGTCTTTTATTACTTTAGACATCAACCGTGGAAATGTCTGTCTTACATAAAACTACTCGTGACAAAGTTTTAGGATTATTTTGAGCAGTTGGAAAGAGATAGTGCTTAACAAGTGCTACTCAGTTTCAATTCATTCAAGAACAAGTGGACATTTATCCACAGCTCCCATAAATCTTGATGACACCACAGCCCAGAGGATTATTATGTAAATTCGATTTTGGGATGAAGTGTCAGTTTAAGTTGGGATGAACCAACCTGATGTAAAATGATGCCCCAGTGACAAAAAAGTGCAATTTCTCAGAGCGTGACTGCATCAGTGGAGGCTGATGAACGCTGAGGGAACATAATGTTGAACAAGGCAGAGCAGCACTTACAGAGAACGTCAATAAATAATGCACTTGAACACACTGTAACATGCTACTCACAGAATCAAAGTCAGTGGTGCAGTATCAAATTTTAAACACAAGCCTGACTTTTAACAGGATTGTCATATGTCTCATCTTCAACCCACATCCGGAGCGTCCGGTGTTACCTTGGCAACACTGGAGGCAGGAGGCTCCATCTAACAGCAGTAATCAATCTGCCCTGCTGGGCCTAAATTTGTGGATGCACTTAAGTGCGTATGTGAGAGTGATGTTGGGGTGAGGCACAGTGAGAGGGCATAAAGAGGAAACAATAGCCTTCCATCACACCCGTCACTCGCGTGGTTAACCGAATCCCGCCTGGTGATTTGAATAAAATCCATTAACCCCCTGAGTGCTGATCTCTGGGCGCGTGGCAGTGGTATGTGGGGCACAGGGATCCCACTGAGAAGCCACTCATCCACAGGACGAGCATGAAGAGGCACAGTGAACCAGGCCATGTGGAAAATCGCAGCCACGGGGTAAGAAAAACTATCAGTTACAAGCCAACGATAACTATGAATGAAACATGCGGGGATAACAACGCGCATTAGAGACGTGCGCCTGTCTGAGCTTCCTCCGGGACTGTCCCAAAAATGCAGTACTCCTCCGAGAGGGAGCCTGTGCGGAAAATTGACTCTGCAGTGAAGCACAGTTGCATCACTGCAGACCGTTCTGGTTGGCTGCACCGAGAAGAGATTCACCAAGGCAGAAACTGACACTAATGTAAAGCAAACATTCGTTAGGGTGTTTGTTTAGTGGAACGAGGCTGATGCACAGTGGGAGCTACTGTAATTACAAATGGTCAGGCTCAGGGGTGCACGCACACCCGCTCTTATGCTCTTATTGAGTAATTTTTTACTCCTATTATAAAGACAAGGCATAAGCACACTTTAGTCTTGCAACAAATAAGCATGGGGCTCGTTGAGGAAAAGCTGCAACGTATGATAAGTAAAATGCACTGTAGCATTTTTTCCACTGCTGATTCAGCTTATAAGTATAACGTGAGATTTTGACTCTATAGTAATTTGCCCTCTAAACTGAGCTGAGAAGGAGGGGTGTGGCATTGAGCTTCCATTAAGGTATCCAATGCAGTGCTGGCAAATGAAATGGCACAGATGAGTCTCATAGCTCAACAAGGGCACATGCTGAGGCCTGGTTACCATGGCATCTGTGCCCTCCCTCACACCTATTAGCTTTCATGCCTTCCTTCCTTGATGTGCACCCTGCCCCGGTAGCATTATGCCATACTCTTCCAGATACAGCAGCTGGTAATCTGATGAATTTCTTGTATCAGCTGTTTTGCAGTTTCAAGGCAAACAAACTACAAAACTCCCATCTACTGTTCAAATATACAGTGGATAGTAGATTTCTGGATGGATATCAATACAGATGTTCAAAACCGCAGTTTAAGCACATTTAAATGCCAATGTAAATATGTTTTTTGGAAGGTAATCATATGTTTTAAGGTGTTTCTTTGCGAAATTAATGTGACACTACAGATAAATATTGGCCACCGGCATGGGTAAATGTCATCTTATTTACTTGTAAGAAGACATATGGGTCGATATCAATGTTGGCTCACTTATAGATCAATACCTAACACACAGTACGTATATTAGAGCCTCATCTTAGCTTAGTATACGCTAAACCCATTTCATTATTGATTCACTGTTATATCAGATCACTGGTTTGCCGGAATTGAGAGCAAATGCCAAAAACATTTCATTTACTGCCATATAAAAACAAGCCAAAAGCCACATTTTAGGACCTGAAACAACCAAGGTGTATATTATATTACTGTTTTAAAATGCATTCTTTTAAAATGGCAGCAGAAACAACAAGTCCACACATGCACAGGAATAACACAGTCCACTAGGCTGTGTGAAACCTCTCTGAAATCAAACAAAGGGTGACAGAGTGAGAGCCCGTGTAATATATAGTGGTTAATATCTTAAATCCGTTCGTGGACTACAGATAACCCAGAGGAACTGCTGCTCATTAACATATTACATTACCACTGGGCTAAAATCACATAAAACTGAGTCAAATATGCAAGTCATGACACTCCCTTAGAAACACCCCCTTTTTTTTCTTCTTATTTTGTGCCCCTCACTGCCAGGATATCTGACGTGATCAGGAGTGTGTTCCTGTGTATTTTTCCACAAGTATTTGCAGAAGCAAACCTGTGACCTTTCAGTGACTGGATATAGCTACTCCCACCCTGCTGCCCATTGTAAAAGGAGAAAGTTAAGACCTGACACAGTTCTCTGGAATGCAAACTTTAGTCCCCTCTGATCCGCTCATGTGGAATTAAACAGAAGTACAGTAGAAGAAGAGAGGGAGGGAGAGGAGGGTAGTGCGGGCTGAGAGGGCTGTTGAAGAGATACCTCAGTATATTCCTACTTTAAGTGCAGGGCCTTTATGTCTCCAAATCCACAACTGTAAACTATACTGTAATATATTGCGCACTACCCCATGCTCCTCCATTACCTTTCTTTAGCCTAAAGGTAGCTCCAGTTCTCGTTGCACTTCTGACACACTGCCCTGTCGGGCACATTTAAAGGAGAACAAAGGCCAAAGCCTTGCCAACATCACTTTTGATCATCCATGGGAAGAACTGATAGCTTCCATGGGTTGACTCAGCTATTCAGGGAGGGTTCCCAGGCTGGCAGTGTCCTCAAGCTCTCTGCACAGGACCCATCAACACTGCTCAATAATAAATAACTGTAGGTGCTACACGGCTTCACTGCAGCATCATGACTCTGACCGACAGAGAGAGAAGACACGTAAAGCTGCTCCAGTCACAGTTAACACCTCATCCAGCTGTGTGCTCTCCAGACAGCTGCTGCTGCTGATGGAGACATCTCCAACCCCGCTTTTAATATAAAGGCTACTAGGTCGCACAGAACAAGGGGAGCCACTTCTCTATTACACAGCTCCAGCTTCTGTTACAGCAGATCTCCTTTCAGTCTCGCCCTGAACCCCATTAACCACACAAGACTAAATCACTTCAAATAAACCATGCAATCTGGATGATCGGCTCAAATAATATGCTTACATAAAAAGCGATACTAATGTAATAGAAAAAGGAAAGTCACGAGCTCCAGATAAATTCGGGTTATGTGGCTGCATCTGTCTGGCGAAAAGGAAACCATTTTCCCACGACGGCAGCATTGAACTTCATCAGTGATTCCTGCGTGCTGGTGTATCTCAGGATTTTTTTTGGCAAGGGCAGCCAATACCCGGTGTGATGAACATCACAGCCGTGGATTCGTTTACCTACCTTTATCTCAGAAGCGTTTCATATTCCTTCACCTGCGTGTCGGTGTCAGCGAATCTGCCGCCGAGGAGCTGCAGCTGTTCCTGCTGCTGTGAGGCGCGTCTGCACGGAGAGGCAGCTCACAGGATCCTGGCCATTGTGGTTCGCAGGACCAGAAAGGGAGGCAGCATGGGTGTACAGCACGCTTTTACAGCGCGTTACAATGAGTATTTTCCGCTCTGGCCCGCAAGAGGTCGTCCTTTACGACTACTGTAGAAGGGTCAGGGCCGTCAGTGAGTGTAACTGATGTCTAAATGTGATTTGCTACTTAGCTTGACATTTTTTCACGAAGAAGCTCACGTGGAACTTCTCTAATTAGAAAATGAAAAGATTAAGCCCCGCCCAAACGATCCTATATTTAACCTGTCGACTAAAATAGCAATTATTATTATTTTGTCATTATTGATAGATGCGTTTGAAGCCAGTCATGTTTCGCTGTGCAACTGAACACAGTATGTAGTATAGTGTATGCACTTTTTTATACTACACGTCTCTGTGAAAACGTTGTAAATTGAAGACTGACGATTTTGATGGGGAAACTGACAGATTGCTAAGAATAGGACTACATTTTCTGTCTGTTAAGGGTGTCTTTAATAGCATAACAGAATTAAAGAAATATCCAGAAATATCCACCCAGAACCATTTCAGTTATTTTACCTATGATGAGCAACCCGTAAGGATGGCCATTACTCTGAAGATAAGGGTTGGATCTGTTTAACTATGATCATGGTGAGACCTTTGTTAATTCATCTCATACTTTGTCCTTATCTTTAATTAACTTGTATGGACTTGCTTTTGCAACACATCAGCTTAACACATGATATTAATTATAGAAGAAAGAAGGCTTAAAGGTAGGGTTAATAGGGGCTTAACACCTGCACCTGATTGTGCCATCTCATTAGTGTCATACCAGGGATGCAATTTCTATAATAGTTCGAGGTTCTGGTGTCATAGCTGACACTTCCAGGGCCCTGGCGCCTCACCTCTGATCTCTGCAGACAGAAACTGTCTGTGGGCTCTGTAGTGGATAAATTGCCAGAGGAAATTCCATCACAGGTAAGTGACAGAGACAAAATGTAGAAGGGAACGTGCCACTTTTCACTGTTATTAAAAGAACCAACTTTGCAATCTGAAAAAAAGTGAGATTTTCTTGATCCCCTGCACAACAATAGCAGTAATCAATAAAACACAACGCAATGGTGCTAGTTTTTACTTAACTCCTGACCCTGAACACAGCAGTTGACAGGAGATACATTTAGTTGTTTCTCTCTTGGGTTTTTAAATGCATCACATCTTCGACAGGCTGAATTTCCCTTATGGCGAGACTTTTTCTGCATGGATTACACGGTAATTAAAGCATATGCTATTGAGGAATCTCCAGATGCTGCAGAACCTCTTGAGATATCTTATTAAACAAACATTTCTCAATAGCTCAAGATACTCAAAACCCGTATGACAACTATGATGTCAAATATGATCTATATAATATGATAACAAAAGATTTATTTGGGCCTGCTCGATAACCATATTTTAAAAACTGACATCACACCACGAAGAAACCGCTTACCGTATATGTAGTTCTCTACAACGCCAGCAGAGGGCGACGTTGCTCCTTTCAAGGAAAAATAAACTGGAATGAATTCTGAAATTTACAAACTCAAATTCGAATACATGTGCAGGAGGAATTGCATTAAACTTATAATTACATTAAATATATTGTATCAAAATTATGTGTGCGATCAATAAGCCCTTGTTTCACCATTTAACCAACATCTCTAAACACACACAAGCTTTATGCTTCTTTGCCCTATTTGCCCCGAAATCTGACATTAAGCTGAGCCCCGTGTTCCCTGTATTCTCAGAAGCATTGTGTTCAGTGTGTAGACCAGTGCGTGTAATGTGCTGCATGCACAAAGGACTCTCGCTCTTGCTGCTGGAGTGGACATGAACAATACCTCAAGCCCCATGGGCCACATTACAGATTCGCATAAATGGACGACAGGAGGAGCGCAGGCAGCCTCAGACTAATGGAGAGGAAAACCACAGGGGCGAGTGAGCTGAAAGCTACATCCTGATGTCATCCGGTATTTGGGCAGAATGTCAGAACCTTGAAATGTTCGGAAATCTGTTTTTGAATGCCCAGAAATTAGACCTGTGTGTTCGTTTACCCATGACTAAGACAGAGGTGTCAACTTCTTTACAAACACAACAAACAACCCTCTAAAAGAAAATATAAACTCACATTTATTTCTCAGCATTTTGGTGAAACTTTATTATTTCTGAACTCTTCCGGATTCAAAAATATTACAAGATGAATTTGAAAAAACAAGATGAGCCTTTTTACTGTTTATTTTAAGCAAATTTGATTTGAAATGAAATTCCAGCTGCCATTAGAAGAAGGAACACAGAGCACACGAGTGTTTTACAGTTACATATTATATTATATAAGTTTCTTTAATACTTGGTGGAATAAGAACCAACCCCAAGCATGATAATGTTTCCATAAGTTAGTGATTAATAAACAAAATGCAATATGTGATATAGAGAAGGTCCCAAAATATTTTCCATTCTTCGGGTGCTTCTACGGATGTTAAGTCTCCAGTGCTGCAGCTCATCCTCATAATGAAACATCATCATGCAATAATAATGTCAGCGAGGTATTCCATTAGGATACAGACCAGGGATTCCCCATATCCCTTGTTCTTTAGTGGCTGGATACGCACTGCCACACTTGTCCTAAATGTCCAGCACGTGGTCGAGATATGAGATGTAACAAATCGCGAGTCGCAAGATTTCAATCTTGGACAACTTTTTGTCTGGCGGGAGCGTTGGGAGCAGTTTCCTTAGTTCTGCAAAGGCCACATTGAAGGCTACGACACGGACCCGTTCCCTGGTGGCATGCGCAGATCGATATTTGGCTGTGGCGCGCCTCTTGCGCCTCTTCTCCTCCTTGGAACGCACTTTGGCCTCTCCATCGTGGGTTCCGACCGGCATGGACCCACACTGCGCACCGAGGGAGTCCAGAAGGGTGTCCGTGTGTCCGCAGGGGAGATCAGACTCCTGATGATCACCGCTGAGCATCATATCAAAACCTCTGTTAAAAATAGAATAAAAAAATACTACTAGGCAAATGAAACTGAGGCAATACTGTAATTCTATAAAACATGCACAAATCATGGATGCAAATATGAAAACATTCTATTTTCTTCTGGCTATTCCTCATTAAATGGCAATTAGGAACAAATGCAGGGATATGAGAGACTCCTGCTGCCCTTCAGTGGAGAATCTGTAGTATTGCCACTATAGCGACGCTGTCCGAGGTACTGAAACATCAAGACAAGAAAACAAAGCGAAGCAGCCCTTGTTTGTTTTGCAAAAAACAACTGGTATAATAAGAATAGCACACATTTATGATATATTTCCTGAAGATAATATCTATATGTAGAAGAGTGTGCAAGAGGAACATCGAATTGTTTGTGTTTTTATCTGGTAATGTTTCAACTTTCTTGCAGATTTCGACGAACCAAACAAAAAACAAAAGAAAAAAACGAAAAACGCGCAGAAGACCTTGGAGTAACGACCGTGGAAACAAAAAACAAAGCTGAACTTACCTTGTGCATTCGAGGAGAAGGTTTCATCTCATTCAGCAATATCAAATATTTAAGCTGCAGGTAAAGTTATCTCGCCAGCAGCCTTCATGGTCTCTGACTCTTGATTTACCCGAGTGGAGAAAAATAGCTGAAAACTGGACTTGAAGTGGAGTAAAAATCAGCCCACCTCGTCTTTCCCTTCCACCACACTGTCACTATTGTATGGCTCCATTCAGCAGCAGCATTTTTTGGTCTTCTTCACCCCCCACCTCCCCTATGCTTTCTCGCCTGTCTGTGCGCAGGATTAGACACTCTCGTCTTACTACACGGAGCTCAGAGACGACAAGCAAGACGGATGACGCTGTCTTCTTTCGCTTTTATTAACCAGCAGGTAAAAATAAAACCTGCCTGAGTCCCCGCCCTTTTTTATGAGATTTGTTTTTGCAGACGGTTCATTTGAAAGGTTAAAATCCAGTCCACTAAATTGAAGGTCCACTTGACGAAAACTTCTGCTAGTGACGTCACATCCCCCTGGCTCTTATTAGCAGAAGGTCAAGTGAGCACCTGGGTCTACACAGAAGGAAATCAAAAAGCCGGTGGAATATCTGCTGTAATAGCCTTGACCTGATGCAAGACTGAGTCATATTTGTGAAACTGGAGAATTAGAATGTGACAAGATTGCTGGTAGAAAGCTGTGGATCTGCAAACCAGTGTGCACAACTCTTGCTTTGGACTCAGGAGGGGAAGCATTTTTACTTATACATATGAAAATCTAATTTCATGCAAGCTATGCATACCATGCATTAATATCTATTTTTATATTGAGGATTAGTTTTTGTTTTTTATACCTCGTCTGGTCCAGTGTGCTAGTTGCAGAGCTGCGGCTATGACATTTTGATCTGCTCATTTCTGGAAATGTCAACGCTAATCATTACTAACATAATCACTGAGAGTAAATCACCACTGAGCCTCCACCTCTGTGGTAGTGGAAAATGTTTCCTCAGACGCTGTCAGAAATGGCACAGTAAATGCTCGACTGGATCGTGTGAAGTTATTGAGATGGCCTTGGCATATGGCTAACATCATTACCGTTCTCTCGAAGCTGCTGCATGACCATTTATGTGTTGTCGATTTGAAAACGGCGTGGATATGATGCTCATCACAGGAAAGAAAGAGGCGCACGTTATGACAATGGCTTCCCAAAGTTGCAGTGTTGGCAAACATGTGGCCTTTTCAAAGAGGACTTGACAGACATGATGGCATCCTTTGCATTTCTTTACACCGCTTAGATCTAATGCCTATGTATCATTGACTTTTTCTTTTTCTTTTTTTGCAGGACTGTGAGCACTTTAAACATCTGAATGAATTAATTTACCATCACTGCTGGAACAGTGATGATCAGCTCTGCCTGTATCTGGCTGTAGCTGTAATCTTTCAGCAAGTTTTTATTTATGCTGTGATATCCTATAAAATATAAATGCTGGCCAGTCTGGCCCGCTGGCAAAATCACGCAATCTCTTTTGCCATCATCATGAAAAACCAGTGCACGGATAATTTTTATTGATAATGAATAGTAAGAACATTCACAGTAGAG